AAGAATTGTCAGACAATACTTCTCATCTATATTTTTCTTTTTAATAAATATTCTACTCATATAAAAATAAATTAGAAAATACATAATTATTATTAAATACATATAAATTTAAAATTAAATATAAAACATGTTTAATAATTAAAGGATTAATATAAAAATAATTTTAAGGAATTGTTAATACAATAAAATAAAAATCCTTCCAATTTTCTTCTTCTTCTTAATCATCCAAAAATGTAAACTCAATTCTCTCCCCCTTTTTTCTGTTCGGCCGCCGTTCAAACACGCCTTTTCTCTTCCGGGTGGTTGGAGGTTAAGAACAACGATCTGCTTGGTTGCGCATGGACAAACATGACGGCAAATAAAGCTTTAAATAGTTCTTGAGAATTTTTATATTTTAAATTGCTGCCAAAAGAAAAATTAAAAATAAAAAAAAATAAAAATTAATTTATCCCGTGTTTGGATCGAAAAGGAAGTACAAAACAAATAAAGAGAACAAACAATACATTCAGTATCGGCTGACACAAAAACAATTAATATGTATTACTTACTGACCTTTGGCGGTATGTTTGCTTATTCAAAAAAATTTTTTAATATAAATTATGATGCACTTTTATATTGTTTGAATAATAATTTCCCAAAAAAATATATTTCAATTAAGTTTTTAACTTTCAAAATTTTACAAAGAATTTTAGCCTAAATAAACATTTAAAGTTTGACAAATATCAGCGAATATTAATCTAGATTCTAAACGATTTTAATGTTTAAATAAACACCTTTACTTACATCCTTATTAATACACTTTTGTAAATCTTCGAATATCAAAAGTCACAGATGATCAAACAAATTTAATTAGGAAAAATAAAAGAATTTTTAAATGCGTATCTGGTTCGGATTGTAAATGAGAATGTAAGACTTGTCATTTTTACGGATTTATCCCGAATTTATTCTTCCGGCAATTTTAGTTAAAATCAAACAATTAAATAGTACTTTAAAAAATAAATATTAAAAAATGTAAACATCCCTCTCTCTCCTTTTCTAAATTGTAAACAAGTAAATATTTACGTTATTTAAAGGCTATATAATGAAGACAACTTTATTTTGAAATCATTTTTTTATTTTTAGTTATTTTGTTATTTTTTCTACTAAAATCCTTAGAGTGGTATTTAAAAAACTCATTTACTGATAAATTGTTAAAATTTAGAATTTTTATTAAGCATTCTCCATTGTTTTTTTAATAAAAATTTTTTAGTCAAATTACTATATTAACTTTATTATCTGAATTATTCTATTAAAAAACAACAAAAAATGGTTACTTTAAATGTAAATTTCCAATAAATTATTTAAAAATTTAAATATAAATATTATTTTAGCAACCAAATCTTCAAAAGATTCTCCATCTTCCGGCCTCTCAACGAGCTGTTCCATATGCTGTTATGGCTACTGCAGTTTGTGTAGCTACTTATTATCTCCTAAATGTTAGAGAACCAGTTGGAATTCATTCTCTAAAGAAAGGAAAGGACCAAACGGAAAAGAAAAATTAAACAAAAGAATGTAATATTTACAACTTCACATTCAGGATATTTAATTTTTATGATGTTTTGTTGAAAACAAAAATATTTAAAACTCTAAAAAAGGAGTTAAAATATTTTATTTTAATAGAATAACAATTTATATTAGAATGGCATGCTTTAGAGAAATGTAAATTAACAAAGAGAAATGATAGATAGATTTATGATAGGCTATGACCATTTATCTCATAAAGAAATTTGTTTTCTTGTCTTAGTTTAAGTGAGTTAATGTCAGTCTAGTTGGATATGCAGTATTTGCCTAATCCCTAGTCTCCTTAGTTTGTGATCTCCTACGTTGCTATCTTCTAGAAAGTATAGAGCGTTCCGTTTTGCTCATCAATCTTATCAAATTTGTGATATTAAGTCGTTCTGGAAGATATTAGACCTGACGTTGAGAACTTAAGTCCAAATCGAGAAGAAAATTCCTCAAGGAGCCTCACTCTTGAGATTATGTTGATACATCATGTGCTCAAGTGGTCCGTAGGACTCAATTTTCTCTGAAAAATAAGGAGACATTCTCTATTTGAAGGAACCTTCTAATGACCGCCATATTTAAATTCCAAAAACATTTCAAGTGGTAAATAAATATATTTAATGTCTATCATCGTAATTAACTTGTAATTACGAAATATTAATTATATTTTTCCTACATATTAAATTCTTTAAAAATTCACGTGAAATATTGTGAAATTACATATATTTTATAATATTGCACTTTCATTTAATAAATAGTCTGAATAGGCAATTTAAAAGCAACTTCACTTAAAAATTTTTAAATATTTTTACTTTTATTTTTAATTATTTTTATATTAAAAACAAACATAATTATAATAGTCAAAAATTAATATGATATAGGAAGTGTATATTCTTATCAACTTAATTAAGAAGTTTCAATAAAAATAAAATATACATCAACACAATAGTTTTCCTCCCTCTACATACATATGTTTACATAAGATTAAGACTTACTAAAAATCACAATATATTCGGAACTGATATCTGAAATAAAAATTCTGGAAAAAGAGATTCTGCTTATTTTCCCTTAACTCTTTTTAGATATACATAATTTAATTAATTTTTAAAAATTAAATGTTTGTTAATCTAATATTCTTATTATTGATTCAACCATCAAATGGCATTCCGAATCCTTTCAAAGGTATTATTTAAGGTTATGAATTAAATGAAAAATTAATTATTTTAATAATTTTGAAAAATACTCTACTCTAGTAAAAGGATAAATTTAAAAATAAATTTTTCTGAGAAACTAATTTTTGTAGGAAAACATAAATGTACATAATTAAATTAAATAGGAATCTGCAATATTTATGAAAATTTTACTTTCATTGAGAACCCTTTAAATGGTTCTACAGAAATAATGTTGGAGAATTATTACAAGGAATTTTTTCTAACAGAAGATGTTAATCAAAAAATAAAAAATTATTTTAAAATTTCAATAATTTCTCATATATTTTTGCTTGAACTTGCAATGGACAGAAATGAGCCAAGAAAGAATATTGGGTTACTAAATTTATTTAAATATTTATTAAATATTTATTAAATAATTTATTAAATATTAATAAAAATTTAAATATTATTAATAATATTTATTAATAATTTAAATAATTTTTGAGTATTTTTCTTGACGATATTTTGTGATATTTTAAATTTTAAAACAAAAATTTTAAAATTTTTATATGAATTAAGAGAGTCCTCCAATAACTTTATATTATTCCATTAAAGATTTTTTCGTCGAATGAATTATTGTTATCCAATAATTAATTATTATGAAGCTAACCTTTGCAATTTAATTTCATTTAAAAGAAAATATAATGAAGAATTAAAAGAAAAAAGTGGAAAAGATTATATAAAATTATCTGATAAGATAAATTGTTGTGAAACTGATCAAAAAAAATTAGAAAAAATAATTATAGAAAATATTGAAGAAATTTGGGATGCTAATTTTATAGTTTTTTCTAAGTATTTAATTAAAGAAAGAACTTCTTTTCAAGAAATGATGAGGTAAAAAAGTGCCGAAACAATAGTTAACTTCCCTTGAATAATGACCCTCCCCCCTAACGAGAGGTTATTCGAGAAAAAAAAAAGAAAAAAAAATTGGCAAATATTTAATAAAAATCGAACTTTTTTAAATATGTAATTTTAAAGACTCAACACAGAAAGAATTATTAAAACTAGCTACGGAATTACTGACTTTGCTAAAAAACTTTCTACAATGATTGGAGCAATACGTGGAATGGCTATGCATAGAATGTTTCCAGGCATTTTAAATGAAATTTGTATGTAATTATAAATATTAAAATATAATATTTACATAATACTAGAATATCTAAGTATTAAAAATGGACCTCGTTTTAAATTTAAATTAATTTAAATTTTTCAGCTGATGAAGAAGTCAATTATTTCTTATTTGTATTATTAAATGATTCTCTTTCGAGTAAATCAAAATTTATGAGATGGCGTGCAAGAGGCGCGCCGAAATTTGCGGATTTTATTTTGCGGACCCGAAATTTGCGGACCCGAACTTTGCGGACCCGAATTTTGCGGACCCGAACTTTGCGGACTCGAATTTTGCGGATCCGAGATTTGCGGACCAAAAATTTGCGGACCGACAATAGAGTCTACTGAACCTCGGAAAATTCAAAAATTTTAGCCTACGGCGTTAATTAGAATAAATTCAGGCATCATGACCTTATGAAATGGCCATATAAATGATTTTTTAAGGAATTTTCTCGATTATTTAAATTATGAAATAATTCTAAGATAAAAAATTGATAAAAATTTTGAAAAATCAAGAAAAAATCTTGAATCCGGTATGGATCATGGTAAACTCTTCCGAAATCATCGAAAAATAAAATTTTTAATTTTTCCTTTTTACTCAAGTGTCGGTCCTAAAATCATGGTTCCGCAAAGATCAGGTCCGCAAACTTCGTGTCCGCAACCTTCGGGTCCGCAACTTTCGTTCCGCAAATTTCGGGTCCGCAAAGTTCGGGTCCGCAAAATTCGGGTCCGCAAAGTTCGCGCCACGGTGCAAAGACATATTCTTGATTATTTTCTTTATGAACAATGGTACAAAACTAATGTATCTGATAGTAAAAAAGATGGAATTGACAAAATAAAAATTGTTTGGGAAATAATTTTTGAAAATTATCTGGAAGGAAATAACTTTCTTAAAGAATTTGTTTTGAATTTTAGAGAACTTGAAGAATATGAAATAGAGAATGAATTAGAGGTTTAAATTAATTTAGCGTAAATAATTAATTAATTGGTTTCGTTTATGTAAGCTTAAACTAAAAAATACATATAAAACTCCAGTTTTTGACATGGAATTTATTAATTTAATTAAAGGAATTATTTCTCAATCCATATGGCTATGCAAATGAAAATTATGATGTTCATTTAAAATATTTATTTTTAATGAAGGAATGTACTGAAAATATTTTAAAAACAAATGAATTAAATGAAGAAAATAAAATTTTAGAATATTTTAAAAAATGTGTAAATGAGGAAATATTGAAAGAAAATAAAATTGAAGAAAATGAGAAAAATTTGCGTTTACAAAAAATTATTGAAAAATTGACTAATTCGAATAAAGATGATGCTTTGTTTGAAAATAACAAATTAAGAGTTAAAGATATGAAGAAAAAAATTAATTCAGCTAAAGGTAAAATTAAGTTGTTCTCGATATAATGAACCCGAAGGGGCCAAAAAAAAAATTTGTTATTTTGAGATTCTTTAAATCGAGGGGCCATTAGTTAATAATTTAAATTAATTATTTAATATGTAGATAATGAAATTAGTGACATGTATGGTATTGATAAAAGTCAATTGCTTGAAAAAATACAAAATAAAAATTTGAAAGAAAGTGGAAAGACTGAAATAAAAGTGAATGAAATCTCGGTAATGTTTATATTTCCATAAATTTTTCATCTTCTTTCCAATCCTCACACAAAATAAAAAATCTTCAAACAAGTTTTTAGCTTTTAGTTTATCGGTCATAATTCTGAAATTTACGATTACATTAATAGAATAATTAAAGGCACCGCTATGTGGTAAGGCCGTGAGATGCTGCTTAGTATTTATTATTAATATTTACTAACAATCATATATACTTCCCCTCTACAATAAAAAAGAAGTTGAAAAAGTGGACTATTAATCATATAGATAAATGTAATGCTTAATGTTTATTTTTAGCCAATTTATAAAGAAAAAGAAATTGTTAATGAAAATGAATCGTTTTCAGAGAGATTAGAACGAATTTCCAATGAATTTAGTGGTAAAATTCTGTATTTTATTAAATTGCATTTTACTAATGATATAACGGCTTTTATTAACCCCGTAGACAAATATTTTTGAAAAATAAAGCCTGAACCCAGATAACAAATAAATTGCCCCCGGGAAATACAAAATACCTCAAAATTATTTTAAATTCAAACCAAATAAAAAATATTAATTTAATTTTTAAAAATTTTAAGAAAATGCCCAATTGAAGGATATATTCAAATTCTTTAATGATATGTTGAATTTGGAAAATGAATATAAAAATTGGATTTTTGAGACAAATATTGAAGAATTTAAATTAAATATTTTAAATAAAAATGAAGAAAATAATTCATTTTTGTATTATTTTAACAAGAAAAAAGGCAAATTTTATTATAAAAATTGGCATTCAATAAATAATAAATTTACTTTATTTTTGGCTCAAAATATTGAAAATATAACAGAAAATAATAAATTATCTGAAAAATCTAAAAAATTAATTTGTTTGTGGAAAATAATAGAAATTTTGTTGGCAATGGTTAATAATACAGATTTAACTATTAAAAAGGTATTAGTCGAAGTGATTTTATTTAAAATTTAACTCAGTAAAAAGATTTTTACAACGGGAATGTGTCTCGATTCCCGAAAATAGAGAAAAATTTATCGGAATTACCATTCAAAATTTGTGAGATTTTTATGAAAAAACGCGAATTTTTGGTAATTCTTTCTACAGCTCTCTCCAAAAATAATTTTAGCTTTTCATCATTTGAGCTGTCGAAAACGAGAATTTCTGCCTTATTGACATCTTAAAATTAAAAAAAAATTTTTGCATGCTGTGCTAGAAAAAGTCGAAAATTGAAAATAATCTGGAATTCTTTATTCCCGAAATATTCCCTCTATTCTAATATAAATTTAGTAAATTTAGGCTCTCAAAATAGATGAATTGGGATTTGTTGAAAAGAAAAATTATTTGGAACATTTAATTGGGCAAGAGTAAGTAATTAAGTATTATTTAAAAAACAAAATTATTTTTAGTTTAAGAGGACAGCCAATTCTGCTTAATGATATTTTAAATAATAAAGAATTCGAGAAGAAATTACGCGCATTTTTTGCTTATAAAACGAAGCAGAAATAATTTATTGGTCAATTAGAAATGTGCGTAAATCTAAATGAGATTTATAAGTAAAAATTCCATAAAATTTCGAAAATTCATTGATAAATTTAACCAATAATTATGTAGTATATAGTTCACAATTTTTCACTGAAAAATAAAATGACATTCTCTATTTCTATTAGAATAAATACGGTATTTATGTAAATATTGCGCTAGAATTTGTTTATTTTAATAATTACCATGTCTGAGTATGGCTCAGGGAGATAACTCAGAAGCCGGCTCCCACACTAAGATTTTGAAACACCCGGAGCTGGAGCCAGGATTTTGAAATGCCCGGAGCCGGAGCCAAGGTTTTCCAATTCCCACGGCTCCGGATATACATCCCTAAAGATGGGTGAAAGAAAAAGAAGTGAGCAAAAGATGAAAGGTGTGAAAAGGATTAGAGATCGGAATTTTGAAAAAACCGGGACCGGGAAACGGGTTCTGAAGGTCGACCGGGAGGGACCCGGACCGGGAAAACCGGGAATTCCCGTTCCCGGTTTCATCCCGGTCAAAAATGACCGGGACCCGGACCGGGAAACCGGGAAATTTTAAAAAATTTTGAAATGCATTTAAAATTTTTAAAAAGTTATGGGAGTAGTTATTTATTGAAAAATCTGATTTATAAATAGAAGAATTTAATAAATCAGTAAAATAAATCAATAAAACAAATGTAAATTACAATAAAGTAAAACATAAAGCGGATTACGTAGGGCTAAAGGGATTTAAGAGGCTAAAGAATAATTGTGGGATATTAGGAGATTTTGGAGTTTAAGATCTCTCGATAGCCTCCTCAAATTTTTTTATATCGCCTATATGTATTCCTCATCTAATTCCCTTTAATCCCTCCTAATCCACATTGATGCTGATTTAATTTTTATTTATTTAATTTTTATTTAATCCCTCAAAATCCACTCTGAACTTCTCTGTGCAATAGTGATATCAGGGATTAAAAGAGATATCAAGAGATGTTGGGATCATTAAGAGAGATTATGGAGAAAGACCTCCAACCACCTATATCACCTGATATCTATTCAAATCCCTTTAATTGGAAGGCAATGATATCATATGATTAAATCATATGATTAAGGCAGATCTAATGGATTTAGAGGGATAAAGATGGCTTAATCACCAGGTCCCTTGATAAAATACACTAATTTCCCTCAACTTTTCCTCCAATAATACCTCCAAATTTCTTTGTTCCAAATTCTTCCGCGAAAATTTCGAGAATTTTGGAAGGCCAAATAGCCAAATTTCTTCCGTTTTCAGCGCCGCAGGCGAAAATTTTGAGAATTTTTGTAAAATCTCCAATATTTTTAAGTCAAAAATCAAAACGCCAAGCAAAAATATTTAAAATTAGCTGATAGAATTTTTCCCGGTTTCCCGGTCCAAAAAAAGCCGGGATCGGGAACGGGAAACGGGAAATGAAAATTAACCGGCCGGGACCCGGACCGGGAAAACCGGGAATTCCCGATCCCGGTTTCATCCCGGCATCTTCAAAAAAGCCGGGAAAAAGGACCGGGAAACGGGACCGGGTCCCGATCCCGTTCCGATCTCTAAAAAGGATGAAAAAATTGAGACGGGTAAAAAAGATCTTTTTCATCTTTTTGAAGGATGTGTGTTAGGTTGTGTTTCCTGCACCTATTGAATTGTATTAACTTTCTAATGGGCGATCAGACATGATCCGTCCAGTTGGGAAAAAGATAGCGCTTATCAAGAGATTTCAAATGATATTAAGTTTCATTCGGATAGGATCTATCATAAAAATGTTATAGCTGAACAAATTAGGAAAAACGAGAAAGGAAAATGTGGGGAGATAACCGAAAGTACCAAAAAATTTTATTTTTTGGCGCCGAGGACGCAAAAAAATTCAAAAATTCTGAGCATTTTTGGAGCTCTAGCAGACAGAACAGGACGAATAGGCGCGGCCGAATAGGCGCGGACGAATAGGCGCCATTTTTTCGGCGCAGCCTATTTTCGGCGTTTAAGGCAAAAACGCATAAACGCATCAATTTACGCGGAAAAAAGTTTTTGCCGCTGCGGAGGAAGCCGGGCATGTCAAGTTAATACTATTGAATTGTATTAACTTTCTAATGGGCGATCAGACATGATCCGTCCAGTTGGGAAAAAGATAGCGCTTATCAAGAGATTTCAAATGATATTAAGTTTCATTCGGATAGGATCTATCATAAAAATGTTATAGCTGAACAAATTAGGAAAAACGAGAAAGGAAAATGTGGGGAGATAACCGAAAGTACCAAAAAATTTTATTTTTTGGCGCCGAGGACGCAAAAAAATTCAAAAATTCTGAGCATTTTTGGAGCTCTAGCAGACAGAGCAGGACGAATAGGCGCGGCCGAATAGGCGCGGACGAATAGGCGCCATTTTTTCGGCGCAGCCTATTTTCGGCGTTTATTGCAAAAACGCATAAACGCATCAATTTACGCGGAAAAAAGTTTTTGCCGCTGCGGAGGAAGCCGGGCATGTCGAGCGGAACGATGGCCGCCGCTTCGCTACGGTCGCCGCGAGCGCAGCGAGCACGACCGCAGCGAAGCACGGCCATCGTGTAGCGAAGACCATGCCCGGCCTACCCTCCGTAGCAGCACAAAAACAGTTTTTCCAGCGAAGATTCTGTTGGTCATAAGTTTATGCATAATTTCGAATCAAGCTGGTTTCGGTATCATCGATTCTGCTCGTCTAACTCATGCAAATGAGCTATTATTTGTATATTTAAATTTTTTTCCCTCGACGCCGAAAACATGCTGCGCCGAAAAAATGGCGCCTATTCGGCCGCGCCTATTAGTCGTGTACCCCTAGCAGATACTATATTTTGATGTTTTTGGGGAAAATAACGGTGGCACGACTCGGGCACAGTGATCCATTTGCACAGTAAGTCAATTGCACAGAGGGCATCTGCACAGTAGACAATTGCACAGTAATTTGTGGTTAAGTGGATTCGTGTTAGGTTTTACTTATTGTTATAAGGGAATAAAATGTTATTATTAGGTCGGGTCATAATTAGTTCGCTTTTTTAATTTGGATTTTTTTGATTTTTAAATTAAGTTTTTAGAAATTATTTTTTATTTTTATTACGAATCATTTGTTAGAGTATGTTCTAAAGGATCTCCGCATTTGAGAATTTTTGGTTAGGTACCGCCTTGTAGTTCTGAGTCTGCTCTATCGGATAAACACCTTTTCACATTTTTAAAAAATTTCTTACGGGACAGGCACTTTACTGAAGACGCCAATGGCGAGACTGCGTTTTGAGTGAGTCCAT